GATGTTAGGTAACCATAGTGCCATCACTGACGGGAATTCTGTCATATCCTCCTGAGATCACTCAGATGGAAGTCTTCGGAATATTCCGGAAGTTGTGATTGGGGGTGTTTCTTGAAACTAGATCTGGACGCTGTTTCGCCCCTGAGAAATTCGAACGTTCATGTGAAAATATAATATTGTTGGATAAAATAGTGCGCTCTTTGCTATTTATTTTATTTTTTATCATTTGTGCTATATTCTCCATTGATCCTAATTATTTCTGCTTAACAAGGTTTTAGTTTTTTGAACTGCGAAGGAGATTCGAACAATGGAGGTAAACCACGAGTTTGCTCAACTGATATCATTCTCGAAAAAACCCCACGAGCGCGTTGGACAATCAGGGAAGAATAGGAGTCGTAGTCTTAAAATGCTTCGTCGTGGGAATAAGGCAGATGAGGAAGGTTCTCTCAACACCTGTATATCCATTTTGTGGGCCCTGCGAGATGCAGTACGGTATTGGTGAGCGAGAGTGCTTACCAGTTGGATAATCGGACTCTCTCTGTTGATCCAACCGTTAAGTTTAGTTCTTTGCTTACATAAACCTCGCCTCAAATAAACCATCACTTAGAGGCAGCGATGATGATAGATTCAAGAAGGATTTAAGGAGACCTGGTGGTGCTCAATGGTACGCCAGTGGCGAAAAAAGCGGAGAAATCCGTCAAGAAAACGCAAAACGGGACCCCTTTTTGGCCGTTGGTTTTCACTCATGAACAGGTAACAGCTCAGAAAGCGGACGTATGAACGAGTTCACCGCAACGCGTTTGGTGGCACCATGCCAAACCACGCTCCAATCGAGTTGCTCCAGTTGTGCCGCTGCTGGCAACGCAGCTCGTCCAAATCACCAACTAAACTAGTGGGCGGATCGCTTTTGGGGGCGGAGTGCTTTCGAAGTCCTGCTCAGCAACCAGCGCAAATTTGAAAACCTCTAGTACCAATCACAGATCTGAAGATGGCAAGGCTTGATCAATTGGCCAAGTGCCTAAGGAAACAGACTTTCAACTGCCACTACGCACCACAGGCTATTGAATGGCGCATCCCAGAGCGGTTCTTACCAAACAGCGTCACGTCCCTGTGAGCAGAACCGAGAAAACTCTTACAGAGAAACTCCTACGCTTTTATTATAGAATCAAACCAAAAAGGCTTGAAGTGCAACGAATTCGGCTGACTGACCTCTGGAGAACTAATAGAAGCCCATGGCAAGAGGAAGATTTCCCTTTCACGATTATCTAGCATAGTCATTCGTTGAGGCACCTTCCTCGCTTGGTGTTCCCCCATGGATTAATTCACTCGAGGTTTCCGGACCAGGACCAGTAGACTCCTTACGAGGCCACACTCATCTCCTACCACAGAGGTGGTTTTGCTATAATTTCACCCAACTACTACAGCAAGCCGGCGTTTTTTTTCCCTTCACATGTGGGTATTTTGATGGGAGTCTTTTGCGGTGTAACTGCACTCTTTTCAGAGCGCGCCTTGGTGCATTGTGGCTCACAAGCGACTGAGCGACTGTAATAAATAATTTTGAAAAACTCAAATCTTACCTTAGCGGAGTCTAGAACAACAGGCGCAGCTGGAATAAGTGTTATCTTTATCTCGAGATATGGGGCTGCTTTTCTAGCCCTCTTCGATTCCCCAATATCCATCTTGTTTCCTTACTTTTTTGCTGTTATGAAATTTGTTTCGGGGGGAAACTGGGAGGAACAAATTTATTTTGGGGAACTGGTAGGTTGGATCGAGGGCGGAAGTGGTGTAGTGGCAAGTGGCACGCTCACCACGCGAGCGGTCCTGGGATCAAATCCTGGGTCGTGAGTAGCCCGGATCCAACCAAGCCTTCCATCCCTCCGGGGTCGGTTAATTCCACCGTGGAATCCGGTCCTACTCCATGTTTGTCGATCCGTATGTGATGTTGCCATGCTTCCACTTTTACCACCGGAATGTCTCGGGTCCTCTTGAGTGCTACTGAATATTGAAGTGGTTTGCGAGGTCCCAGCAATACCCATCTTGTAGTAGACCTTCTACCTTATTCAGATTTCTCCAAAACTTTACTGACACTTCCAGGACCTATCTTTCGTCCTATGACCCGCAGATCGTGTGCGTGCGGTCTCTTATTGTCTCCTGCTCTAACACATATTTTTCTTCTTCTTTCATTCTTTCACTCCGTGCGTGGGACATAAGCTGAGCTGCTGCACAGTTTATTTCCTATTTGACGCGCTCTCGTCTGCTTCCATCCACACAGAGAATTTGGCAAGACTCACCTTACCCGCTATGTAGTGCTGAGGCGGCCGGGATGGGAAGCTCTTGTTCAAATAAGTTTTTTAGGAGTGGCGCGGGCAATGGCAAATTCCTGCAACATGGGGAAACCCGTAGAACATTTCATCTGGTGAGCTCTCCCCTGTGAATAGTCGAATAAAGTTGGGCCTAATCATGAGTGACACGCTCATTTTTGATATTGCCTGAAGTAGGGTGCATGGCGGAATGAACTTTATACTAAAGTGCAGGGGGCTAATTTCACGGTCAGAACTGTGTTTATTTCGACTGAATGTGCCCCCCCCCGCCCATAAATGTGAAAGGCTTTGCATGATGGTTGGATGAAAATCGCTCTTGTCATCAGCCAGCCTCACTGTTCAGTGTGTAATAAATACATGGATTCCAGTGTTAGCAGGATTCGTAGTTAGGGCAAAAACAGGGCTCATCCCAGAAAAAAGTGAGTCGAACTAATTAACGGCTTCTTCCGCGCACTTAGTTTGAAGATTTACTTCCAGAAGGTTCGAGACATCGCATAGCAAAATACCACAAAAATACTTTATCAAATTACAATGGAATAAGTCCAAATAATCAGCTCCATTGGTGAAATAATGCACGTGTACAGCAGTTACGAGCTTAAATGGTAATACATTCAAAGAAAATGCCTTCAAGTGTCTTCAGCAACCTAAACTACAAATTTCGTTTTCGATTAAAAGGCAGTTAGGTGGGACACCTTGATTTCACGGGTCATGGAAACACTATCTAGGTAGGGGGGTGGGGGTAACATTGGGTGGAATGATGCTTCGGCACCGCGTAGTCCTTTTCATCCTACGTCCTAGTCCTAAAACTGAGCGTTACCTTAATTCATAACCCGTGAGATCAAGCTGTCCCACCCAACTAAGTTTGCACCGGCAATCGTTATCCAAGAATAACAGGCGACGAAAGTGCAAGAAAAGTGATCTGCATCGGATACCAATCACTATTGATGAGATTGCTGCGACATCCGAAGAACACCCACACCAGCAAACGTCGTCTAGAAATGTCTCGAGAAATGTTAATGGACACTCAGAAGAAGTCCCAGTTTGAATGAAAATGCAGGTAATTCCATCGCAAGGCAACTAACCGCTCATTCATGCGGCTATGAATTATCCACTGATTTGCCTCTGGATCAAAAACTTCAACGGTGTCCAGGTCGGTAGAACCATTAAACCCACCAACCGCGTATAGCCTTCCGTTGACAACGGCCAGCGCTACCTGTTAACGACAACCTCTTTTCAGATTTGCCTGAACATATTAGAATGCACGTAGAATAAAGTGAGCAGACTCACACCCATCGTTTCTCGTTCATGTCAGCCACTGCGGTCCACTCGTTGGTAAGGGGGTCGTATTTTTCAACTGAACTCAAATAATTTGATCCATCAGATCCTCCTGCTGCATACAAGTGCCCATCGAACACTGCAGATCCCAAAAGCCTCGATTGTTGTCATTGGACGAATGTGCTCCCACTTTCCCACTCGTGGGTCGAATCTAAAATATGGAATGTTACATTCTTAATTCGCATTTTTTTGAATCGATGGCATCAGGCAAGTAAGGCGCTTACTGAATGCAGAGTAAACTCAAGCTCATGC